CTGAGATGTGATACTGCCCTTTCTAAATCATTAAAGAAAGATCAAATTATATTTTATGACTATTTGAAGTCAAATAAACATATTGTATACAAATCCTTTAAAAATCTGTTATACATAGATATACAGCCTCTCTATCTACAGCAACTTGATTTTTAGTAATTAAGAATACTCAGACATCACCATGTAATGAACAGAATCTATTGCCTAGTAGAATATAGTATGTTAAATGTAACTTTAGTATATTTTTTCTGAAATAAAAAATCTTATTGGATTTTTCTTTATAAAATCTTACTGGATTTTTAAAAAAGCAAACAAAATAACTGTGGTTCAACAGCAAAGCTAGTCATAAGCATGAGTGAAGGGAGAATGAATTTGGATTTTTCTATAGATGCTTTGTAATGAATGTATTATTTGATTGTAAATAAATTTTAAGTGATTTTGGCTTCCTTTTCCTTACTCTCCACAATTCAACCTTCCCAAAGCTGGTGAGACCACTCACCGACAAAGGATTTCAACTGCTCCAAATTCCAGAACTTGAGACTAGCCTTGAAAACAGCAAAATCCATTTAACCATGAAAGCTTATAGGAGTTCTCCACTGTATTCAAGATAAAGGAACAAACATTTTTATCTCTCATCTATCGGTATTCAGCTTAGTCATACGAGAAATACTATTTATGGAGCCATAATGACCACATCCTCCAAATCCTTAGTAGAGTAATTCTTCCTTATTATATATTTTTATTATTGTTCAAGTACAGTTGTCTCCCTTTTCACCCTACCAGTCTCCCCACCTCACATACCCTTGCCTCCCACCCTCCAACCTACCCCCTTTGGCTTTGTCCATGTGTCCTTTATACATGTGTCTTGATGGTCCTTTCCCTATTTTTCCTGTTATCCCCCTTCTTCCCTCCTCTCTGATGGCTGTCAGGTTGTTCTTTATTTCAATGTCTCTGTTATATTTTTCCTGCTTGTTTGAGTATGATGTACTCTCATACATTGCTACTGGTAATACAAAATTTTACAGCCACTTCGGAAAACAGTTTGGCAGTTTCTCACAAAGTTAAACATTTTTTAAATTTAACTCAGCAGTCCCATGCCTCAATATTTACTGGGAGAAACAAAAATGTGTGCCCACACAAAGACCTGTACATGAATGTTTACAGCAACTTTATTTATGATAGGCAAAAAATGTGGCAACAGCCCAAATGTCCACCAGCTGGTGAATGGAGGAACACATTGAAGTGAATTCTTGCAGTGAAATATAATATTCAGTGTTAAGTAGGGACTTCTGGTACAGACCACAACACTGATGAGTCTCAAAAGCTTTGTACTAAGTGAAAGAAGGCAGACACAAAAGGCTAAAAACTGTGTAATTCCACTTATATGAGATTCTGGAAAACAAACTGAAAAGTCAAAAGTCAGATCCGAGGTGTCAGAGGTTGGAGTATGAGTAGGAGCTTGTTCATGAAAGCATGAAACAACCCTTTGGGGAATGAAAATGTCCTGAAAGTTCATTGCAGTGGTGGTCACATGACTAGGCTGACATTCATCAAACTGTGTAGCTAAAGTGGGTGAGTTCTACTCCACATAAACCATATCAGTCAACCATAGTGTTTAAAAAGTAGAGACATGCTCACCATAGAAACTGTGGAAATGAAGAAAGGCATAATGAATATGAAATTCGCCTTGAATCTCACCGGCCAGATTATTTTATATTATTATTAATTATTGTGCAAGTTTATTTTGGTACATCTTTCTGGATTTTTTCCATGCATATACTATATATTTATATGGATGCTCTCTTTAACTTAACATTATAATTCTTTTTTATATACACTTTTTATAATCTTTTCTATCATTTCTTGGCATCAATTTTAATGACAGCCTTATCATTCCTTACTGTTTGATTCTTAGATGGTTTTGAGAGTTTGCTCTTAAACAATATTGATAAACATCTTTTTTCTTTATTCTTCCCTCAATTATAAATGTATTTTTATGCCAAGGATATGCTTTGATACCAGTGAAAAAAAGTATCTAAACAGTGATACTTGATATGTAATTCCAGAACTCATCCTTATAGTAAAAAATAAACCTCAAATCTGTTTTCGTTTTATGTTTTTATTCAATATAGTTATATATTGAATAAAATATATATATATTATATTTATAATGTATCCCAAAATATATATTTCTGATGTATTCTATTCGTAACCACTTGATTTACATAATTTTTGTCTGCCTAATATGAAAACTAACAGACAGAAACTATCATATTTTCCTGAATAGCATTTATAGCATTTCCTTTATGCAGTTTTATCTTTTGTTGAATGTGACTTTTTTCTTAGGTGTAACCTGAAACTTTTTTGACCAGTTACTTTCTAGATATGTTTAGTCAAAATTGTGACTTTTGTCTGTGTTCAGTTGAGTTCTCTCTTACAGTACAATAGCCCAAAATACCTTGAAGCTCAACATTCAAATGCTTACCTTGCTTCTAGTCCCAAATCAGCTTTTATTCTACCTTAGAATAACTTCCAATATACACATGTATGCACCCTCTACCTTTCTGCTTTCTGTCTTAAGAGAAACCACACATTTTCATTCCAGATTTGTTGAGCCATATTTTGAATGAGGTTGCAGTTGATGGCATTATTCTTTATGCAGTATCTTCACTGTCAACAAGACTTAACCTTGACTTGCTGGTGGTGTTGATGGTTTGTGTATCAATATTCACTTTCACTTATGTATGACCCAGTTGCTCAGCAACATGCTAAATGAGACACTTTGAAGGAGCTGAGAAACAGGCCGTGGTCACAGGCAAAGGTTATTACAAAGGACTCCTTGGCTCCTAGGCAGCTATTTGGTGCACATCTTGCAAGTGCACTTTTACAGAAGGCGTCTGTTGTGTCCACAGCATCTCGCTCCAGAGGTCATTGCTGTTAACCCTGTAACGGGAGGTTGGGTGTGTGCATTTCAGGAGAGGAGAATTATGAAGGAAAGACAGAAAGAGAGCAGCTAAACACCTTTCACCAAACTCACAGAAGACGAATTAGAGGGTAGAGCAAAGGTGGGGCAAAGGGCTTTAAGGGGACCTCAGGAGAGGAGAGTGAACAGGTGACAACAGTGGCTGTAGATGTCTGTCAGGAACTAAATGAATTCACATTCCTTCCCAAGCACAGATGGTACGGTATCAAGGGTGTTGTGAGAGCCGAGTACTGTACAGGTTCCCCAGACACGCCAGCGAGCTGACGTGACCGCAGGAAAGCAGAGCACTGATTGGGCCAGTGTGGGCGATGCTTTCCAGGGCAGGGGCCTGGTTTGTATTTTGACTTTTAGTAACTTCAGGGTTTTTTGTTTGTTTGAGTGATTCTGAAAATTTATAAAACACAGAGAATAAAGAAGGAAACTTGAATCATCCACTACCCCACCACTCAAAGATAACTACCACTAATATTTCGGAATATTTCTTTCACATATGTTTTACAAACTCCAAATCATTACCTATGTGTTTAGTTTTGAATCTGTGCTTTTCGCATAACATCCTATAGTGAGATATTCTTTAAGTTTCCAATTTTATCAAAAATATAATTTAGTGACAGCATGGTGTTTTTTCCTATGCATATGACAGCATTTATTAAATAATTCACCTACTGTTAAATGCCTAAGTTGTTGTTTTCAATAATGGAAATAATACTGCTCGGTGTGTCCATGCAGCGCACATCTCGATGTGCATAGCTAATTCTCTCCCTAATAAGTTCCAGGATGAAAACCTGGGGCTGTTTCTACATAGTGCCCTGTTAGCTTACAGAAAGGTGGTCTTATGTCACACTGCACTGGTAGTGAGTACGAGTACCGTTCATTTCAACACACCTCAGCCAACATCCCCATTACTTTTTTATTCTAAAAGGGGACAAAAGGTATGTGTGCTTTGTTTTATACAAGATAATGTTTTAATGAGATAGAAACTAAAAAATAAAGTGAAGATTTTAGTTTTAAAAATTGTAAAAGTCTAGAGACTATAAGCTCTTAAAAATAATTAGCTGTAGTGATTTTTTTGTTACTCAAAATTGTATACAAATTGCGTTAGTCTGATAGCATCTAAATATTAAACCTTCACTACATAAAAAGAGTCTGTGATAAAATATTGAAAAAGCTTACTTTAATTTAAGAATTAAGCGTCTATTTATTATATTTTAAACTTCTAACAACGTTTTCCACTTTTGTAGGAGGTGTGTGTCTAGTTTTATGGTATTTTAAAATAGCTCTTCACGGCATGCTCACACTTGATTAATATTTAATTTCCTCTTTTTTCCTCAATACTTAAGCTTACGTCTGTATATTCAGTAAGAATGAAAGTTCTATTTTTAAATGATTGATTACTTTAATCATTTTAATTCAAGTTACTAGTAGCATTGCAAAGTTAAACAAAAGTGTTGGTTGAAATATGTTAAATCACACTGTGTCACCTTCATTATTGTCAGAATTTCATAGTTTGGAATATATGCAGCAAGATGCTTCCATAAATCAGGTAACCCCCCAGATTATGGGCCTGGCGCGGGCCATAGAAATCAGCGTATCCAGTCCTCTCACTTGGTAGTTGAGGAAATAGAAACTGAGGTTGGTGCAGCCACATTCCTGGGTCACTCAGCTTGACAGAGACCCTTCCTGCACCCCAGAGGTTTTGCTCTGCATCCAGCTCCTGCCCAGGCTGCCCTCTGAGACCTATCTTCTCAATCCATCGCCTTTGTCTATCCTACGAAGTATGTGTAGGAATAAAATTCCTGCTGGTTCCCTGATGATCCTTTGTAACTCCAACTTCGTTCATTTAGGGGTATGAACTAACAAATTGATAAGCCACATAAATCAATTGCATTTCAAGAGCCTAGAATAAGCTCAGTCACTTTGTGAGACAGAAGCTGCATGTTGTCTTGGATTCCAAACGAACAGAACCACAACACTACTCCTGTAATGTATTCTTTTGCTTGTTTGTTCTTCTTACCAGATATCTGTATGCCCTTGGACAGAAGGTTTGGAAAAGATGGAAAAAACGTTACTTTGTTCTTGTTCAGGTCAGTAAATTTTTTTCCTGTTAATCACTCTAAGACAGCTGTTCTCAAAATTTTCTTTTTGTGGGCTTTATCTATCAATATTCACTACATGAGAAATTAAAATGGAAAATATTCAAATATTTAATTTATTTTATAATAAAAGTAGTAAGTTTATTACATGCTAACACAAATTACATTTTTATATACAACTATTTTCCAAACCAAACAATTTAGTGAAATGAGTGGCATTTTTTATGCTTCTCTACATGTCTTTAGTGTCTGGTTTAATTGAATATAGCTGTATTTCATAACATCTCCTCCATTCAACCTCTTGCAATATCAGATCAAGTTTAGCCACTGGAAAAGTCTGGAAACTGTAGACTCATGAGAAAATAACTGAAAAAAGCATGTGATATCTGAATATTATAAAAAGAGTTTTGACTTCAAAGATCCCCTGAAAAAATCTTGATGATCTTCAGGATTACAAGACCATACCTTGAGTACCAGTGCATCATTCTGACATTTTAAAGATAAACGTAATGCATCAAAACACTCGTTTGTGTACGAGTGCCATATATATCACTTACTTACATAATTATGTCTTTAAATCACCTTGACTGGTAGACTTGTTTGTGATAGGATTCTGAATGCAGACAAATTGCTGAAATATACAGTTTGGGCTAATTCTTTTGTAGATTTATCTTTTGTTCTTTTTGAATCATAGATATAACATTTGCTCATAGAATATACTCATTCAGTTAAATTTACATTAAAGAATAACTTTCTAACTAATGGTCATTTTATTCTATGATAAACCTAAGCTACTTTATTTCCATTGGAAATATATGAAAAAATTAATTCTTGGAATTCCTAACAGAAAACATGTACCATCTCATAGATTCCTAGCCACACATTAAGCAAGCTTAAATGATCTAAATCAGAATGACATGGTGAAATGCCAAGGAAGGAAAATTGTCATTTGCTATCTTCTAGAAATATGGCCATCTATCAGTTGCCGAATAAATTATGTGGCATAATAGCATGGAAATTTCATGAAAAATATATAAATTTGGTCAAAATAGTTTTATCTACATGGCAAGCATCCAGTCTATCTCTCTCTTTTGTGTGTGTGTGTGTGTGTGGCTAAAATGTAACCTTTTTTTTGCTCTTTTTTTCTCGTTTATTTTATTTTTTTAATATATAGTCTTCATTACATTTTTTCCATTACCATTTAGTCCCCTTGTACCCATCTCCCCCCAGCAATCACCACACTGCTGTCCACGTCCATGAGTCCTTTTTCCTTTTTGCTCATCCCTGCAACCCCCGACTTCCCCACCCACCCCAGCTGTCATCTGCTCTCCATCTATGAGTGTGTCTCTGTTTCATTTGTTAGATTTGGTTTGTTTGTTAGATTCCCAATAAGAGTGAAATCATATGGTACTTGTCTTTCTGTGGTTTATTTCCCTTAGCATAGTGTTCTCCAGGTCCGATTAGAACCAGTATTTGATGAACTAATTCAATCAAAGATAGACCCACATGTGCACACACACTGACAGTCTTTTGATATAAAGTCCAAGCATTTGCCTTAAGTAGACCCCCATATTTTGACTTCTTGGTATTCTGTCCTCTACAAACCACACCGGTAAGTCATCTTCTCTTGTTTCTAGGTTTAATTTCTTCACACTGACACAAGAACTGAAGTGCATTTACCAAGCAGTTTGAGTGCAGATCTCTCTGGACATTTTGATTTTATTACCATTTATAGATGTCTTGCTCGCTCTAATCTTACAAAAGTCCTCTTTGCTCTGCATGTTCATTTCTCCCCTTCCCAACCACTGGCCTTTTTTGTCTCCATAGTTTTGCCTCTCCCAGAATGTAATATTGTTGGAGTCATATAGTATGTAGCCATTTCAGATTGGCTTCTTTCCCTTAGTAACATACATTTAAGGTTTTTCCATGGCTTGAGACTGCTTTTATTTTTTAAGCACTGAATAATATTTTATTACCTGGATGAATCACAGTTTATTTATCCATTCACCTACTGAAGGACATCTTGCTTGTGTCTAAGCTTTGGCAAGTATGCATAAAGTTGCTTTAAATATCCAGGTGCAGGTTCTTGTGTGGAAGTAAGTTTTCAACTCTTTCAGGAGATACCAAGGAGTTCAGTTGCTGCATTGCACTTATGAGAATGAATCAGGGAGTGGCCACTGGAGATCTGGTTAAGTGACAGCAGGCTAATTTTCATATTGTTTTAATATGAAAAATTGTTCTTTATTAGGTCAGCCTGGAGTGGTCAAATGATTACCTTATGCTTTTGGCCAGGTTTGGTTCAGGGTAGCCCTTTACTCCTTACCTTATTTTCTAGCATATGATCCTGAGAGTCAGAAGTTATAGGTCAAACTAGTATACTTTGATTATCACTCCATAAGAGGGTTTGGAAATAAAAGAAGGAATTAGAATACATTGAGATCATTAATTGGTTTGTGTATGAGGAACATTAACAATGAATTTGGGGAGCTAGAAAGTTCTCCCAGTGACAAAAATATGTTTAACATTTAAAAGGCAAATTTTAAGTTGAACAAAAGTAGATAAATTCATATATTCTACAATTAAAATTTAGAAAAAAGTCACCAAACTGTAATCAGTTCAGATTTTTTCTCCCTGAGACACCTTCTTAATATTTGAAGTCACATTTAAGCCTTATATCTTTACACAAATATGTGTACATACATGCACTCACACTGAGAATCCCGTGTCTAACATACTGAGATACAAATACCAGAACTTGGCATCTGTTTGAAATTTTAAATACAGTTGAATCTTCCTCTCAATTCCAAATGTATTGGGAAGGCAAACTGAATGTTTGAAAGACATTTCCACATCAGAGTGGACAGGTATGAAGATTCAATGAGAATGAGCCATTGGAGGACCCAGGTAGTTTCTATTAGTATTTTTAAAGACAGCTCTCATCCTGTCTGCACACAGTGTGTGGGGCCATACCTGTGGGCTGCATTAGTCAGGGTGAAGAAGCTGTTTTTTCTAGGGAGGACAGCATACCCCTGCTGTGTCAGCTGCTGCATTCAGCAGAATAGTGCTCTGGTGATAATGTGAATCTCATCGCCGCTTGTGAGTGTGTATTATATGAGCGATATGGCTGAAGACCAGCCTTCAGCCCAAGAATCTGTGCTCATAAAAACTGATCGAGAGTCAGGTGTGGCCAGCTGCAAGTCACTATTCAAAGTGAACACTCAAGGAGCCGTGGAGGAGAAAAGAGACTTTTCAGAGACCTTCACGTAAACATTTCAATCAGATTTTAAATGGGAAAATAAATAATTTATTAATGTGGGGTGTTTATTTAGCTTCTAAGTAAGATTAGTTTTGGTCTCCATTTAGATTCTGAAGCCAGTATAGTTAACAGTATTAAGTAGATTTTCATGTTTTTTTTAAAGAGGCTGCGTTTTTTAATTAAGGTAAATGAGGGTTCATGCTGAATTGAAGAACTATGACTTGGAAGAATATATTTGAAATCTTACGAAGATTAAGTTTACATGTGTTTCTTACTTATTTTGTGTTTCTTCAGTGTTTTAGTACTAGGTTTGGAGGATGTCATTGGTCCGAAGTACTTATGATTCTAAAATATTTTAGTTCATTTTAATTGTAATTTAATAGCTTTAAAATTCTCTTTGTATTTATGACTTAACCAAACTGAATTATTTCATATTTCTTTGTTTTGCTAATGCCTAGTGAAATAACTCTGTGCCCCCAGGAATTACATATTCTGCGATAAATTCAAAAATTCCTGAAAAGCATTCATCTATTAATACAATTATTGCTATATTTAATGTAATATTCATTAAGCAGCTGTGGAAGGCATTTATGTAAAGCACTTTTATTTAACACATTATCTCATTTACTCCTCAGAATGAGGTATGTTTGAGAGTAGGTATTATTTTTCTTATTGTACAGATAAAATTGATAGACAAAGGAATTATAATTTATCCAAAATTATACCCAGCATTAATATGTGGTGGAGGGATCAATTCAGTTTTGTCAGACTCTAAAGATGAAGTTCCCATTTCCTTTGTCGTGTGCCATGATTAAATGGATGTGCACAACTACAGCCACAGTTAATCTGAAGACAGACACACACGTTAATAATTACTGTGTTACTACATTAAAGAAATGGCCAGTGAGTGATGGCATAAAAAGCCCCGTGCCTCATGGAGGCCACTTACCCTGTGACATCACTGGAAACTGAAGTAGACATCAGTCATTTTAGCCCTGTACCAGAGTGTTCACTGCTTGTTGTCGACGTGTCAGAATGAAGACTTGACATTGCTGCAAACAACAGCAGGCTATCAATACAAAATGTTAATTACATATCAGCTGCATCGGCACAGGCTGTAAATAGTCAGACATGCCACTGAGTGACTTGTACCTGCTGCAAACATATGAGAAGCACTGTTAGTGATGTGCCATCAAAATCTGCTTTAAACGTAAAAAATGGCTGCCCCTGCCTGTTGCTATCTGAAACATTCAGCACACATGGAGATCCATCACAGCAGGCTGCTGTCACATATTCGAGAATGCCACTGTGCATAAAATCATGTGGTCCATGTTTTGTCCTGGGACGTCAGCTGATGTTTGCTTAGGGTAATATGAACAGATATACCACTGTCAGATCAAGAAAGTCATTAGATAGTGGCCTCCAGCTTTATGTTTTAAACTGACTTAAAATGTACACACCCACAACATGCTCAATGTAGGAAACAGTTACACCATCCAGAGGTATTTATGGTAGAAAACAAAAGGTCCCAATGGGTACAATGGGTACAAAAAGCACCCATACCAGCATTGTCACCATATTCCAGTCCCCTTTCCAGAAGTAGCCACATAACCATTGCTAACTTTCATCCTTAAATGGAGTCATTTTATATGTATTTCTTCTGTGAATTGTTTTTGCTCCCCTTTAAATGCATATCACATTTATATAACAGACAAGATGCCATGTCAATATATAA